CTCGGGGACGGTAAATTGAAACCAGATTCGTCTGGGAGAAAGAGAACTTTGACCTGTACATCAGCTGGCCCCGCAACCCACTGTATAGATCACTTTGCATTCATCCAGTCACGACGATTTTGAGTGGAAAAGCAACATCTGCTGCATCCTAATAAAGGACAACCAAGGGCAAACTCTCTCATTGTCCTCAAACCCTCTGAAATGTTTCTTTTATGTGAAATTTGAAGACAGCGCCATAAACACCTAAATTTAATATTTTTCAGTGGGTCACGCCCGAAATATTGGCAGTCGACTGCAGCAGGCGAAGATGGAGGACATGCAGGCCTAGTATTGTTCCCGTCGTCATATGTCGACATTATGAGAAGTTACAGAAGGCTCTGTTGAGGTCAGAGCCAAACTTTCGCAAGATCTGGCCAATGCTACGTGGCCTCTCCGCAAATAGGGGTTCCAGAGAAGCTTTCAGACCGATCTATCCTATTTAGCTTTTATATGCTCTATGTATGGCGCTATTCTTTGTGTTTCTACGGGTTTCTTCCATTTTCATATCAAATTTTTCGTGTACATAGTTGAATTGTCATCCTAGCTATTTGAGTCTTTTTTTCCATGTCAGGTTTGCCTCGCTCAGAGAACCTCTGAACCCATTAAGGGTCGTCGGGTCATTACCATTTTATAGATTCCTTCGTATCATGTCAATTATCTGTGATCTAATGAGTCTGTCGTTTGTTTCATTTTTAAGGATTTATTGAGTGACTATACTGCAAGAGAAATGAAATCTTCACTTTTCTTGAGATATTTGTGCTGACATTTGAGAGTGGGGTTTTATTCAAACACGGTAAGATCATGATGAATGGTACGACAGGCTGAAGGATGGACTCTATTCCGTGGTATAAATGTGACTGAAGTCTAGTTTTGTAGTGCATGCAGGCATGAAAAAGAGCAAGAGTTCTTGTGTGGGTATGTGAGACTGACATGGGTTTCGAGGAATGTGGAAGTTATAGAAATGGACTTTCCATATTGAAATATTTCTGGC